ATCCTTCAACTTCATTTGACTTATGTGAGATACTTCTAGATATAATTTTGCTACAGACACTCTAATATTTCCGGGAATTCCATCTCAAATAAAGGGGCCAGATTTCAATTTAAGTCTGTTTCTTTGGAAAACATGTCCTGTGAAAAATGTGTTTCCAGACCTTTTTTGAAATATTTTCATGAGCAGAAAAGGGTGGATAAAGGGGGAAGGGTGAAATAACAATATACCTTATCTTTGCCTTCTTTGATAGTTTACGGCGAAACTTAGAAGCGACTGCTACGCTGGTAAAAAATGTGTAATATCATGCTACACTAACAACCTTTGTTTGCCTCATATGGCTATTGTTTTTAATGGGCACAGATGATCTTACTACGAGCAACTGACCAATCGTTGAATGAATAGCAACTTTAACGTCAAATACATGTTTACATTTTACTTCGAACACGTGGTTCAGGTTACAGTAATCTATTATCAAGTCTGTGGAGTAGAAAATAAGAAAAATGTTCAAATGAACAAAATACGAAGGATTAAAAACTACGAAAGATGTCACGGGCGTTTTTAGGTTTTTTTTAACTAGAAAAAAATATGTTTGATAAAATGTAGTTTGTGTCAACTTCAGAACACCAGCACTTCAAGGATAAGGAAACGAGCGGCATTTTAGGCATTTAAATGGATAAAACATTTTTTACGTAACTATAGTCGTGATCACGATTTTTGCCAGGGAATCCACCTATCAATTGTATTCATCGATAGTACAACAAAGAAATTATTACAGACAAAAATCTTTGCACTGTGACTTTGAGAAACCACGTTTATTTAACAAATGAATTGTTTGTCATTGTGAGCATGAAAATAAAAGTATTTTAAAAAATGCTTTTCATTTACAAATTGGATCAAAGATGGTCTTTGTGCATTTCCGATCGCCATAAGATTTTTCTTTTTTTTTCATGCAATATTCATAAAATTTCTGTACAATAGTATTCGTGTAAGCTCCCCACGGATGGCCTTTCATGAATGGGGGTTACAAAATAACATCATACTGTACACCACAGGTGGGGTGGTTTAATCCTGGTTAACTTCAGTTTTATAAACGGACGAGAGTTTCTCAAAGGTAACAATAATTCATTAACCATTTCAGCAATATTGAGCAAAAACAGAATCAGGTATAATACATAATAAATAGGTATCCAGTGTGTTGGGAGATAATTTACACTTGTCTCACCTAGGATTAGGCTACAACTGCTATGCTGCTAATACAACTTATCTGCCAGAGACTGGCAAGGCACTTACTGTAGATCACTAAATTTTCGCGAGATTGTCATTGACTCTTTATAAGCGACACATAATTTTCATGAATTTTTTAAATTTCTCTATAAAATCTTAATGAATATTATCCCAGCAGGCACACAACATTGAACAAACTTTGAATCAATGTTGTTTATCTATGTTGATTCAACATTGATTTTATGTTAGATTTTGAAAATTTGTATCAAAGTTGAAGTCTTAACATTTAATCAACATTGATAATCAACGTTGATTATCATAATCAACGTTGATTATATGTTGAAAAACAGTTGATTGATGTTTCTTCAATTATTTATTTTGGAAAGGGGGTGTCATATAGTAATAATACACATGTATACTTACTTAAAATTTCAACCGTTTTATATCACGGTTGCTATGATGCCTTCATAATTGATGAAGGGATAGCGACCCTCTGATAAGACAGATAACTTTCAAAGTAAAAAGTAGTAATACTAAAGATGTTCTATCTGACGTATGGAGACATTGTTCAAAACAGGCTCTTTAAAACGAAGTTTAAATTGCTATTTGTTCTTTAATTTGTTCCTCTTATGAACATGTAGGTAATGTTGTGATGAGGCGAGATGACATCGATATCTATGAAGAAAAACGTGATGACTTTGAATACATAAATGCTACATACGAGTACATAAACGATACATACATTGAGGACGATTGTCCTGGCTTGAATGCCTGTTTCTTTGCACCACCGAATTCAACTGACCAAGAAGGAAATATGTACCTTGGAGAAAATTTCTTCACCGATTATTGCAAGTAAGCATTTCATGAAGGTTCTCATGTAAACTTGGGCGTATTGCGAAAACATATTTTATTAACTAACGTGCAAATTGTCCCTTCTTAGGCCTTTGCTACTTATTATCTATCGTTTTTACAGGTATGTCCAGGAACTCGTTGATTGTGTGGAGGAGTTGGATAGTTTTAAAGTCACAGAATGTGTTGATCAAACAAGATTCATCTCAATGTACAAGTCGAAAGAAACAAGTCTTTGCATTAATCCTATATACCCACGTACGTATTTGATCAAATTACACGGAAATTAGTATTTGTTCAAAATTTATAACTTTTCTCTTTTATAGGTTAATATTTTAAAAAAAAATCAACGTTCTTCATTGTAGTCTTAAAGAACTTGCGACAGTGTATGAACAGCTTGAACAAGAAGCTTGGTAACTATACTGAGACATTGCATACCCTCATGGGTCCCCCTGGACAGGATTTCACAGCAAATGATAAAAATGTGTCTAAAGAGTCTTTCTGTGGGTAAGTTTTAAAAGGATTCTGATTATCAGTTTAATTAACACGTTTAATTAAGATTTTTTTTTTTTTTTAGAAAAAATTGGTTAAACAATTCTTTGTTCTTTTTTCTTCTGAAATATTTTTTTCATCGTATGAGTAAAAATACATATTTTGGGGTAAACAAAGTCATGGAGAAACATACTACACTCTAAAATACAGTTTTATGACCTGGCAATCTCCCCGAGAAAAAAGTCTTCAATTTGGTCCAGGTTAACATCACCCATTTGATTCAAATACTTAAGTAATCACTGTCTAGTTTGTTGGGTATGCCAGGGCTTCAACAATAGTTAGTCCGTTATGCAATAAATTCATACCATACAATATTAAGAACTTTACTCTTAATGCTAGACTCATGAAATAAACAAGCAATTTCAAAGAAATATGGTCCCCCGCTTTCGGTGTCTTTGTGGATGAGATGTTATTTTTTATGACATATTGTGTCTAATATAAACACTATATCATATGTCATTTATTTAAAAATTATCATTGAAGTTGTTTTTTTTAAATAAAGTCAATGGTGAAGGTCAAGGTCACGAGGTAAGAAATCATAGCATGCTCGAAATTATCTTGTCACAGGTAATACACATGTCAAATATGAAATCCCTTTCTCTTCTCAATATAAGGAACAAGATGTGTTTGTGAAACACTGATGACGCCGTATGGCAACATAACGAAGATTAAACTTTTTATTAAATGCAAATTAAAATATATTATTACCCAAAGTAAAGTTTTTCTCACAAGAAATGCGATTGTGAAATACAAAATCCATAGCAAAAGTTAAAGTCGAGGATACATTTTTGAAAGGGAGATCAAACTCCAAGGTGAAAGGGTCTGAGTTGTTGGTTTCTTAAGAAAAATTTTCTCACAAGGATTACATATGTGAAGTACGAAAGCCCTAGCCCTTACCGTTCAAATGTTATGGTCAAGGTTTAAGTTTTTTCAGAAGTACGTAAATCTCCAAGGTCAAGGTAAAAAGGTCAAAGTTGTTGGTATCCAATGAAAGATCTTGTCACAAAGAATACATATGTGAAATATGACAGTCCTATTACTTACCGTTCAAAAGTTGTGACCAAGCTTAAAGTTTTTAAACAGTAGTTTAAACTCCAAGGTCAAGGTCAAAGGGTCTGAGTTGTTGGTATTCAATGAAAGGTCTCCTCTCATGGACTACAAATGTGAAGTACAAAAGTCCTAGCCCTTACCATTTAAAAGTTATGGTCAAGGTTAAAGATATTTCATAAGTACGGAAATTTCCAAGGTCAAGGTCAAAAGGTCAAAGTTGTTGGTATCCAATGAAAGGTCTTGCTACAAAAAATACATATGTGAAATATGAAAGTCCTAGTACCTACCATTCAAAAGTTATAGCCAAAGTAAAAGTTTGGAATTTTTGTGTAAAAGTGGGTCAAACTCCAAGGTCAATAGGTCAAATTTGGTGGTACCCAAAGAAAGGTCTTGTCACAAGGAATACATATGTGAAATATGAAAGTCATAGTTCCACTGAATCAAAAGTTATGGGCAAGGTTAAAGTTTTTTGACGAACGGACAGCTAGACAGACTGACGGACAGACGAATGAGATTTAATGTCCCCTTTCGCGAAAGCAGGGGACAATAAAGCTTGTATACTTTTAAAATAGGCATATCATATGCCTTGTTCGTCCAAATCTCTAATAAAACCATTTCCAATTGACTTTAACATTCTATCAAACGGATGCCCCCAATGACGAATTTTAAATGTAATATATGTGATTTTCCTACGATGGTTTATTCTAGATAATCATTACGACGCTCCAATGAAGCCGACTGGTAATAGAAACAGAGAGCACTTTGAGATGCTTAAAAGCATTTGTTATTGAAATTCTTAAACCTTTTTTAACCAAAATTTAAATTGATTAAACACGTTATATTTTTATTTTTTTTTTATTGAATAGAACATACAATGAAATTTTGGACGAAACAATCGATGCATTTAAAAGATGTCCTTCAAACAATATTCAATGGTCAGAAGAGAAGATCAGCATCCTTCGTAAGAACTACTACCCGGTTATCCTAGGGAGGAAAATACCATTCCAGTGCAGTGATCCAAAACGAAAGTTGACAGGAGATCGGATAATATCAACATCATTCGAAAAAATTAAAATCCAGTTGTATTTTGGAGGACAAAACAATTCAACTGCAGTGATACAGGTTTTTGACAAAGCATAAGAAATCTGGAGCAATTTTTAATTAACTTTTAACTAACAAAATCTATGTTCAATACTACATTATTTTACCTCTATTCATTGTCTTGCCATCAATTTTCACTCAAAACAGACGGACGTGTTACAAAAATGTTATCACATGTACAGATGAAATTTTCCAATTACTGCAAATCTCTGAAATATATACTTATCACTGAACAAACGTTATTGTAAATAAGCATTAATCACTATAATCATGTTTTGATTTCCTGATGTCATACACAAAATTCTTCAATTAAAAAAAATTAACCCAGAAATGTTCTTATGATGTGATTGTTTATCAGAGAAATCCATATCGTTAGTATTTACTCCAGTTTTAACACGTATTCTGAAGTTTATATTAAAAGCATGCTGGAGTTCTTTATTGACAGAATCTGTGTAGTAATTAAAGACCAAGTTTTTTTAAACAAACTGTTGGCACACATTTCCTCCTTTTTAGTCGACATATTCAGTTTGTGAGTACAAAAGCATGAGTTGACACATCAATAAATTCTGAAAAAAGAACATTAAATTCTATAATAAGAATGGGTCGGCTATTAAAGGCGCACAATAAGTGCCCATCAAAATATTTGTGCTTTTTTTTCCTGTAAGTAATAGTTTTTTCGATATAATTTTATAAAATACTTACTGTCTCTATAAAGAATGTATAAAACTTCAGCAATTTACCCATGGCTACTTAGTGTTGAATTACTTCCAATCGAACTTCCGCACTTCTTAAATTAAGAGAAAACATGTTTATCAAAAGTTTTCCATCAAAAATGTGGTAATATGAAAGCATTAGTAACAATACTTATGAAATTGAAATTCAAAATAGCAATCATTATTTATGACTTAATATATTTTATTAATTTGCTTTTCATTTATTAACATAAAAAGGCCCATGTATCACAACACTATTATATAAATAAAAGTCGTTATTTAAATAGTGGTTTCCATGTGAAGTTGTTTATGTAGGACATTCTCATGCTAGTAAAACAACAGAAATACTATGTAATTATACCAATTGTGTTTCGTGTATTCAAAAAAACGGTCGCAACATTTGCACATTACTACCTGTCTTAATTTATGTCACTATATCTACTGTTGTTTAAGAAGAGTGTGCGGTGTGAATTGTATGAAGATAACGTACAGTACTCAAGCTCAAAAGTCCATTAAACAATTAAAAATAATAGCAGAGCAAACACGGTTCTCCAAAACATCAGAGGTAGGAGCAGGTGCCATAGAGGACTGAGTATTCCCTGCCGACCGGTCACATCAGCCATGTGCTCCTTGTCGTGCTTGGGAAATAACGAAAAATCCGTCGACGATTCGGTCTTTAAATAATGGCCTAACAATAAGTGTGATAAAGAATTGCTGAGGAGTTATGTATGTAAAATTTTACATTTCGTGGTTTATATTAATTCGTGGGTCTCTTCATACCTCGGAAACAACGAAAATTAAAACCCCACGGAATTTTGTGATTTTGGAGTAAATGCATTGATATACAATGTATTGTATTGAAGTTGTCTATAGAGCGATTTTTTTTTCACTTATACCATCACACTTGGTTTTGAAAAAATAAACCATGCAATTCCATTAAGATGAATGAAATACAGGGTGTCCGAAAAGAAAGGTAACACTGAATGCAGGTTTAGGGTTGAATTTATATCAAAATCTCAAAATCTGTACACATATAAAGCAAACACGTAAGTTTAATCTGATAGCTTCATTTAATTAATATGTCAAAGAATAGTATTTTAGCAGCAATTTAAGTACAAAGTACAAATCTGTTATTTCCATAATTAATGACGTTCTCTAAGTGACGTCCTTTCACCAACTTCCCTTCCCGAACTCGCACTTTGAGATTATTAATGACATTTTGACACATTTCTTCGCTGATCTTCTTTACTTCCCGTTTGATGTTTGACAAAAGCATATTTGTGTCCACCGGTTTTGGTTTGTAAACGGAAGACTTGAGGTATCCCCAGAGAAAGTAATCACACGGGTTCAAATCAGGACTGTGCGCAGGCCAAGATTGTCCACACTCCTTCACTTCTGGGTATCGCCGGGAAATCAGCTTGTCGCTGAAGATTTCATTGAGATCATCTAATACAATATTAGATGTATGTGCTGTAGCACCGTCTTGCATGAACCAGACATTTTGCATACTTGCTGTTCGTTTTCGAAGTGCAGGAACAAATTTGTTTATCAAGAGTGACAAGTATCGTTGTGAATTAACAGTGTCCGTAAACACGTAAGGGCCGATCACTCCATGTGACGATATGGCACACCAAACAGTTAATTTTTCGCTATGCAATGGTCTCTCCGTGTAACAATGAGGCTGTTCATTTCCCCAGAATCTCATGTTTTGTTTACATATATGTCCAGATAGGAGGAAATGTGATTCGTCTGAAAACCAAACATTTTGAAATGCATCTGCGTAATTGTCAGCAACGTCAGCTGCCCAACGACAAAAATCAAATCTTTGAACCTGATCCGAGATACTCAAACTCTGCATTATCTGAATTTTGTATGGAAAAAGTTTGAGATCCTTCCTATATATGTCATGAACACAAGATTTAAGAATTCCAGTCTCTGAGGAGGAACGTCTAACTGATTTCTCTGGACTGTTAGAGAGCATTTCTTGAAGCGTACTCACATTTTCGTAGCTCCGAATTGACCTTGGCCGACCTGCCTTTGGCGCATCTGCTACTGATCCTTGTCGCTCGAATTTAGAAATAATTTTGTAGACATGTTTCCTGCTCACATTACAATTCTTAAAATGAGATCCAAACTTTCGCTTAACCTCTGTTACACATTTCGTTTCATAAAATTGTTTGACGATAAAAATACGCTGTTCTGACGTTTAATTAAAATGACGCCATAATGTCGGGACGTTATAAGAATTAGCGCATTATTTTTTCTCATAGTAAAAAACTTTCGTTTGAGACCTTTCGAATGATATCAGTTTCATAGAAATAGCTCGAGATTTAGCAAAGTTATCAAAATGTAAAACTGGTACCTTTCTTTTCGGACACCCTGTAGATGCTTGTATTAAAATGTTTATGCTGAAGTTGAAGCTTATATACCTTAAAAGAATCCAGTCGACGTTTAAGACGTACAATTTCCTGCTCGAGCATTTTTTTCTCCATCTGAAAAGTGTTTTCATTTACCTAAAATTAAACAATGAAAATAGTACACATATAGTAACATGCTCATGCTGTTTTTATCTCCAAAAAATTATTTGGTACACAAGATCACGCACCGAATTAGACCAATAATACTGCACAAGCTACTGACAGATAATTTGATGTTAAAGCGTGTTGCTTAACACAAATATTTACCTTTCTTCTCCGTTTATCTCGTAACACACCTGACAAGGTGTATAGGATAGGGTTAATTGCCGAGTTTATGGGCAGAACGAGTACTATTATCCATGCATATACCTCTCTGGAAACATCTATCCCAGAAAACGTCAGCATACCTGTCGCAATAATTAAAGATATCTAATTTGAAACTGTATAATGATATCTTTGAAGATTCTTTTAAAAAAAGAAATTTAGCATTTTTAAAAAAAACATTTTATATGAAGTACACAAAATAAAGCTTACTTTAATGAGATTCATTAGAGTTTTGATAACAATTCATAGATATGTGCTAGTATTAAGTTTAACATTAACTAGTACATGAAAATTTCTGCTTCTGATTCAATGGTGTATATACACTAAACAAAATTGCTAACGCACCACCTAAGAGAATTAATAATTTACTTTAAAAACCTTCTTATGATGCATTAGATATATAAAAATGTCACTTTAACAAAAAATAAGGCATATGAATGTCAAACCTTATAAATAACTACAATGTTTATTGAAGTGTGACCAATTCATATAAAAAGATAAAATCGTGTGTATTCCATTTTTGAAGAATTTTTTTTTTTGATTTTTCTTTGTATTTATGTTCTTTCCATTTATACTAATTAAAAACCCAGAAAAAAGTTACAACGTATGCGGTGTTTTACGCTAGAAGAGCGTGCAAAAGCAGACAGGATGGCGTCTGCAGGGGGGTTCCTTTAGAAAAATCTGTAAAAAACAAAAACAATAAAAAGCTTATGAATTGCATTCATGAAAAATTGTTCCAAATAGATTAATAAACAAAAATATGTTTACTATAGATAAGCATGGCATTAAGTTATCAGCATACAATAAGTTGAAAATTGTTCCATAAAAATGGATCAACCGGAAGTGGAATTGATTTGGTATGGACACTAAGGTATCAGATGATTACTAGGTGATATGAGAGTCAATGACTGTTTGTTGATTTTTAACTGGGGGGCTACTCCTTTAGCAATCTCACAGATCCCTTAAGTGATCAAGAATTTCATATCTGTGCAAAAATGGTGCGCAGTGCACAGCTGGAAACTGGTTTTCGGACAAGAAGGTCATTAAAGGATTTTTTGTGATGCCAAGACATTTGTCAATCCCACTGCTTTTGAAATACTGGCATATCGTATACACTAGAACCGTTCCGACAAGTGTTCAATTCACAAATAAAAATTAACATGTGGTGCGTTAGCAATTTTGTCTAATGTATAAGATAACTTAACAAAGAAGGATATAGAAATATAGAAGAAGATTTTTTCTAACATAGGAATTACAAGCAACGTACCTATTATTCCTATTGGAATCCAGCACAGAAGATCAGTCATAACAACAGCAACAACAGATTTAGCTAGGGTTATCTCCCTTACATGTGTGTTAGATGTTCGAAGGACCCTCCCTGACTTAAGTACATCAAACAAAATAATAAAATGACCAAAAAGAATACCGAGAAATAACGCAAAGTTGAACCCGATGAAAATAACCATGGAATACTGCCAGCCTGGTTGTCGATGAACAGATAAAGGGAGAGATATACAGATTGGGGATTGGGAATAAAAGCCATCAAACAGCGAGAAATTAAGCGGCAAAACTGGAAAGACAGACAAAGAGATTGCGATAATCCAGGAAAGACCGGCTGCCACCAAAACCCAAATTTTCTTCCTCTGCGAAAATGGATGCTTTATAGCTGTGACTCTGTCTATGGTTATAAGGAAAACAAATAAAACGGAAGCTTCGCTTGATAATGTGGCCAAGACTCCTTCGAAAGTACAAAGAAAACTTTGGCGCCATTTATGATCTTCAAATCCATATCTGCCGGTATGAATTAGATTTACCACAGCAATGATATACAAATAGACTCCCATAAGTAAATCAGCTAAACTTAAATTGCAAGAAAGGAAATAATACGTAAATGACGATCCACTGCTGATATTTATTATATTGTAGATTAATGCAATTAGATTTCCAAATGTTGCAAGTTGTGCAATATACCAAATGATGACATTCAGGACAGGTACGCTTATTAATTGTTCGCAAGAGGAAATTTCATTCTTAGGGGCAATACACGTGACGTCATAGTAATTCCGAGGTTTGGCACAGCAAATGGAGAAGAAGTCCACTTGGAGAAAATTGAGACTAAACAGACCAGCAAACATTCCCTCCACCGACACAATTTTGTTATTTTGTATGTATAGCTTTTCTAAAGTTTCAAGTTCTGAAAATATTCCCTTCTCAAATATTTCAATGACATTGTTAGATAAATCGAGTGTATGAAGCTTTTCCAGGTAGATAAATGTTGACCTCTCAATGGAACTAATTTGATTGTGGCTTAGAAATAGATACCGGAGATTTTTTAGTCCTCTAAAGTTCTGTGAAGATATATCAGTTAGTGAATTTGTTGATAAGTCGAGAAGTGAAAGTAATTCACAATTGACAAAAGCTTCCTTTCCAATACTTCTGATGTAATTACCATGAAGTTTAAGGCTTATCAAGGACCTTGTACCGGAAAAATCTTCTCTGTTGATAATTAGTATATGATTAAAAGAAAGATCTAATAGTTTCAGCTGTTCTTGATTTATACCGGGGAAATAAACGTGTTTTAATGCACTTCTCTGCATGCTATAATGGTCACAATTTGTTCCTTCGTATTTAGCAGTATACAATTGAAAAGACCTTGAACCGTTGTTATTTAAATATATTTCACTGAATCTCATGCCAGCTTTAGATACTAGCCTCATATCCAGTGAGGCCCTGAAATGTCCAGCTATCAATCCAAATTTTATTTCAGTTCCATATTTAGTAGAATTTTTCTTCATCAAAGATAAACTAACGGTATTATCAATGGTTGCATGTAATGATATATCACTGAAGTCTTTTTGAAAAGAAAATACTGCGTTTACACCTGCATTACTATTGCGTTGTCTATTCATTGAAACAAGTTTAATTGTGAAATTAGACTTTTGTGCTGAATAAGATATTTCAACGTGTTGGAAAGTATAATTTATCAAATTAATGGCTTGTAATTGTTGATGGGATATCGCACCTTGGTCAACTGTAAGACTTTTAATATAAGTATTACTAATAGTTATATGCTGCAAAGTATTCATCTTTTTTCTCTTAATGTATAATGAATTAATTCTTGATCTTGTTATGTTAACAGAATACACATTGACTGAAGCAAATCTATGGAGAAAAATTTTGTCGCATGAAACATTTTGCCATTCCAAAAACTGATGAAAATCTAATGTGTGGCTAATACATTTCTGGAATGTCGACTTTAAGCAAGAATCTGGGCACTTTTGATTACAACTTCCCAATATGTTTGAGAAGTTTCTCGTATGAACAAACTTTCTTTCTTTAGACTCTGTTAATAATTTACTTCCAATAGAACGCTTATGACGTTCAAAGGATCTTTTGATTCTTCTCGGGATATTTAAATCAATATTGCTGAGGTGCCCGTTTCCTGTGACATCCTTTGATATTCGATGCTTTTTGTCGTTAAAAGAATTGTACATATTTGTTGAATTAGAACAGGTTGCTAGTACTGATGATTTTTGAAAATCAAGGACCTCACCTACAAGGTAAAAATAACTTTAAGTTCTTTCCTTTGAGTGGACCAAGACTCAGTGCCTGGGATGTTGTTAACTGTCTTAACCTATTCTCACGATATGCAAATTATCTTACATAGTTCTTCGTCGCTTTCATCATAGCAGTCTGGCTTGCCATCACAAAACTGTTCTTTCTTTATGCAGTCGTTACTTTGAAGGCATCGGAATTCCAAATCCGAGCAATGTGCCGTAGCTGTCAATAGTAGGAACCCTTACGTTATTAAAAAAAAAAGCTAAACTGTTTCTTAAAACATGTAAAATTCATTCGTTGAAACGTGTATTGAATATCACCATATTTGTTAATAGATTTTGTTTATACATGTATCTTGAAGACATGTAAAATTTTACTCACCAGGACAAACGCCATTGGTTATGAATATGTCATCCAAAACTGCATAATTTCCTCCAATTTTATAAAACAGGGACTGGAAGACTAACTTCAAGGAATATAATATAAATGTAAAGAGGAGGAAAAACAACAATTTTGTTCAGAAGACAAATTTGATCTTTTTCTTTGGTCAGGGTTATTATATAATTGCTGCAGTCAAAACTTCAATATGAAAGCTTTCAGATTTTTTTTTTTATAAATTTAAGAACGTTTAAAATGTTTAAGACACAACTTTCTGTTAAGATTCCATCGTTTTACAACCCACATATGTGTGTTGTTATGTTGTTATGTGTTATGTTGTTGTGTTGTTATGTTGTTATGTGTTATGTTGTTGTGTTGTTATGTGTTAATATGTAATAATACCTTTGAGTTTGGTCGTACAGGAAGGTTGACAGATGTCTTCTTCATAAACCGATACGAAATGTGTTTCCTTTTTAGGATAATCTCACTCTCTTTTCTCAGCTCGTTCAGACTTTTATGCATATTCCCATTTTCTGGCATGTATGCTACTGTTAATTCACTATATCCGATCAACAAATAAGTATAATGAAGACATCGTGCACTGTAAGATATCGGTAGTTCTCCACTCGTTAAATAAAAGCTTATCATGAGCTGAGAATTGGGTATTTTGAGTGTTAAGAATATATAGAGTTCGTGGATCGATTTAACTGAGGAGGCCATAACAGTTGTATTTCTAGGAAAATATCCTACAAATATAAAAGAACACAATTATTTTACTTTTATACGATACTATTTTAAGCTTTATCGCAATCAATATGGCCTGAACTATACTGAAATACATAAACAATAAATTTACCTCATTCGAAAAAATCTTCCTGATTATGTTCAAACAAAGAAAGGAATACAATTATTGCTGTTTTTGAGGTCTATCAATGATTTATCCATCTGAGGAGTACAAAATTCACTGAGCCCGAAGGACGCTTAATCTTTGTGTTGACCAAAAAAACAGCAATAATTGTTTTATAATATGATTCACTGATAAAATGATATAGATCATTGCGTGTTTTTTAATTAAGTCCTAGCCGAATACAAGAGAGAAGCAGAAAGAAATAAACCTTACTAGTCGTATCAATTTGAAATGTTTTTTAATCTATTTTAGTTGCCATGAAAGGAGATATAATGTCAGTCTTTTTAAAAGGATATATTTTGAAAGGAAGGGGTGTTATCAGGGAAAACTGAAAGCCGAAAAAATAAAAAATGTTCGGTAAAAGTGTTCAAGGGGGTCCCTGCATCCCCTATAACCACCCTCACTCGAAAATATTATTATATTCGCTTATGTTTTTTTTCACATGAAAAAAAGTCATAGTCGTTAAATAGCTTTCCAAAACAATTAGTATCAATTTGGACTTCCCTGATCTATTTTTAGATCAACGTAGAAGAAAAAAATCCTTGTATTCACCTGGAACGTCACGTGCAGGTAGATATAATGCAGTATTTCTTCCACATAGTTGGATCTCAGCAATATACAGATATAGATGTCAGACTGCGATTTATGATCCAGTTGGAGTGTGCATTTATGGTATCATACGCTTTTTTACGATGAGAAGCAATACAACAACAATATTTCAGTAGTATCTTACACTATATATGATTCCGTTTACCACAAAACAGTTGTGTTCTAACATCTTATATGATTTGATACATTTTGCTTTTTCAGATCCAAATTACCAATAAACTTACCTAGGAAAGATATTTCATTTTTGAGGTCAGCTGAGGATATTCTTGTCCAAGCCATATTTTTCTCTAGATATGGGGAGTACATGGTTAGATAGGCGTACCAGCGGATACAGTTAGAGGGCGTAGATCTACACGCGCATTCCAAATGCATCCCTTTTGGAGAAAGTTCTATCCAACCACAAGTATTTTCCTCAAAGTCACAGTCAACTGTAAAACAGTGACGTGGTAAAAGAGTAATTAAAACCTACTTAAAAGTTTGATGATTTAGCCAAAGCTATGAAAACAGTAATCTGGTCAGGTAAACTGAAGACAAGCATTGGAAGAATGGAATTGCTGACAATGGTTATTGTTATATTAACGTGGATTTAATAGACATGTATGTTAGGTATACTCACCTGCATGCTCGTCTATTCCGTTCAACACAGAAGTAAAACACAGAACCAGATACAGACAGGTGTACGTCTTCTTCATTGTTAATACCGGTGTATATCTCCAAAAAAAAAAAAAGATTAACAAAAGTTTCCAATAGTAGAAAAGGATCTTGTTTCAAAAGGTTATATTTATTTAAAAAAGAAATGGGTGCATGGACATTTATTTCCAAAATCTACAATAAATGTTTATCTTTCCAGGAAACCTTTTATAGATTAAAGAGTATAATATATAATTTTATACAATTTTTCATATAATTTTTTCTATACGATTAGGTTAAATAATTAAAACAATGTTATAGTATATAATAAAAATTACAATAGTTTCATTTTAATCTTTTTAAAAAAAATCTGCAGATTTTTTGGTGTTTGAAACGTTAATAAATGTGATTTTATCCCTACAACATAAAATGAAGTTTCTTTTTCTTCACACAAAAGTAACTTAAGTCCTTAAACATGTACAAATACAATAACGTTTCCCATACCTTAACATATAAACGGAATCGTCATGAGAATTTTCACTTTGCGTCTTCTTAATTCTGCTGCATAAACTTTCCTTTGCATTTCATAATTATATTTCTAATGTAAACGAAACAGACTAGCAGTGATGCAATGCCAAAGAATAATAGCGTTTTGATTCGGTTTGTATTAAGAGTGCATGACCATATGCCGATAGCAATTTACTTAGTGTCGGAAATAAAAAAAAAAATAGAAAAGGACGATTAAAATAAGAAATTGCAATCAGTTTTAATATCAATATAAAAGAAATAGATTAACGGGACTCCTTCACCAAAAAATGAATAAATCTTCCAAATATATCTTTTCATTTTTATTGTATTCTTTTGTCAGAAAATACTTAAACAGTCTTTCTAAAGTATCCTGTTATGTCTGCTGTGTGATTTTTTTTTTTCGTTATCATCATAGCCATGATTTTTTAAAGATTTCTTACTTTTTCTAAAAATCATAATTAATCACAATATTTTCTATTTCTTTGATTGCACTTAATACGGAGATTTAATATAATTCCATTTAATTAGTTAGGGGTAATTTGGGAAAATACAATAGACTTAGTGCATTCAATTGATATAAAAATATTATTCATTTATTCAAAATGAAGATCATATTGACAGAGTCAACAAGAAACCAGAATCGTGTAAACACAACAGAAATTGTAATATTGGCTTAAACCAGTCTCTAATTCATCCAATTTGTAAAAGTACTTTAGAAACCCCATGCATCTACTGGTTTGGGCTTAATCATGATTCACCTCGGAAGATTGACATCTATTTGTAAGATCTAGAGTACTTTTATGTTTATCGTGATTTTTACTTTGCGGGAGTAGCTGCTCGTGATGCTATTGTTCAGCAATTGTCTAAATTAAGAAGGAAACCTTTCATACATGTATACAGTTCTAACAATTTTTGGCTTCACAGAAAGTCTGAAAATTCATTTGTTTAGTTTAATTAACATTTAATTATCATCTAGCATTCATTTTAATTAACAGGGAAAAACTCTGCAATTAACCAGACAGAACATTTAACTTTTATGATTTCAAATTAAATTTTTAAAGTTTGCAATTCATTTCCTTTGAAAAAAAATACAGTGGAGCCTCATTTATCCGGACGCTTAGGTTCCTAGTCAGTTTGTCCGGATATGTGAAGTGTCCAGATATCTGAATTACCATTTAAACAAGATATAATAACATTAAAAAATTCTGTTCCAATGAAAAATTGTTCGGATACTGAAGCATCCGGATATCTGGTGTCCGGATATCTGAAGGTCCACTGTATAACAAAATGTTTTATCAGTCGGCGCCTGCCGACATTATGATCATTTTGATTCGTTTCATATTCCGATTACCTTAACAGAAAACAATGCACTTTGATTAGAGGCTAATTGAGGACACCTTAGACACTCCTGCATCACAACCTTCTAAATCGACATTTTTTTCGTGGCAGTACCTACTGCGACATGGGGCCTCATTTTTCACCCAAAGGACCTCTCACCATGTACCAAATTGATATTCAAACCCTTGTGGTATGTATGATTTTAAAAAATGAATTTAAATTTGAATTTAATATGAAAGACAATATGGAGTCTGTATCTCTTTCAAATTAAGATGATTTTTTATTATCAACTTTCCTTATGTTTGCATTTATTTTCCGCTATCATCTGCGGTAGATGTTTACATCTCACAACTTAATCGGTACTAAAAAACATGCTTTGAGAATGATCAATGTTTAAGCAAGCGGCATATTAGTGACGGATAAGTTAATATTATAGAGAATACGACAGTACTTTTTAAAGTCAACATTTGGTAAATTCTATGCATGGTCGTAATAATGACATCATTTGCAAATATATATATTATCGTTAGGTTGTATAATGACTGACGAACTTCATAGCAATCGTTTTGCTTATTTAAAAAGTGTTTATAAGCTTTGTGGCTTTCCATTGATTAGATACCTAAGAGGTGTTCTACGTAAAAAGTAACAGTTTATGTGACCCGGTAATACTTCTACAAATAAGTATGCGATCATCAATCAGCATCGACCATGGTACCTTCATACGAGACTGTTCTTATCCCTATTTCGTGATTTTATTTTTTTGTCAATAGCTTGTCTCATTGTATAAACTGTTCAAACGTAGAGCATGCTTTTGAGTTTCAAATCAACCGAGAGACATAAATTCCCTATACAGGTGATAAGGGTGTATTGTTTCAATTAAGTTGGCGAAATTGACAATTGAAAAGTTGAAATCTTGTTTGTCTTAAAGGTTTATTGTAAGGTTACCATGCATTTATCATTACAGTATTTCTGTTGAGATTCCAGTCAAAATAGATTGATTGATTATACACGCACTTTCTAAAGAAAGTTCGGGTATATTGTTGTTACTTATGTCCGTCCGTCTGTCCGACCGTCTGTCACACTTTTCTTCCCTTAACTCCTACATTTTACACAGAAGCCAAATCATCTTTTGGGAGATGGTTGTTGGTGTCATGTAGATGTGCAGTAAGGTTTTTGAATTTTGATTTTCCCTGAGGGGTCAAATGGGGTCGAAAAATGACATTTTTTATGCAAAAAGCCCCATCTTCCCTGAACTCCTCCTACATTTTACTCAGTAGCCTAATTATGTTTTGGGAGATGGTTGGTGGTGTCATGTTGATGTGCAGTAAGGTTTCGGAATTTTGATTTTGTCTCGGGGGGTCAAATGGAGGTCGAAAATGACATTATTTATGTAAAAAGCCCCATCTTCCCTGAACTCCTCCTTCATTTTACACATTAGCCTATTCATGTTTTGGGAGGTAGTTGGTGGTGACATGTAGATGTGCAGTAAGGTTTCAAAATTTTGCTTTTGCCTCGGTCGGTCAGATGGGGGTCGAAAAATGACTTTTTTTTTAGGCGAAATGCCCTGTTTTCCCTTAACTCCTACTACATTTTATACAGTAGCCTAATCATCTTTTGGGAGATGGTTGGTGGTGTCATGTAGATGTGCAGTAAGGTTTCAGAATTTTGATTTTGCCCCAAGGGTCAAAGTGAGGTCTAAAAAGGCCGTTTTTATGCAAAAAGCACCAAGTTTAAAGTTTGTTATTTTTCTTGTAAAATTGGGTCAAACTCCAATGTCAAGAGATCAAGTGGTAAAAATTGGTGGTACCCAAACTAAAGGTCTTGTCACAAGGAATTTTAATACCTATGAAATGTGGAAGCCATATGTATAGTCCAACTTAGAAGAAACAGACATAATAAAAACACAAGAAACAATATTTAATATTAGAGTCACATAAAAATTTTTTTTACTACTTTGGAATCACAAGATCATTTATCATTTCAGGTACAGTGAGTGACTAGGGAGACTGGAACCCCCCCCCCCCCCTCTGGAATTTGTAGTTATTTAAATAGGACTATATACTGAAGCAAACTGTATACTGAAGCAAATAAAAATGACTTTGGATACACCCCTCCCCCAAAAAACCATGAACCCCACCATCATTGCTTTTATTTTGTTTATTTGTTTTTTATTTGCTTCTCAGGAAATTCTGGGCTGGAATTTTTTTTTGAGTGAGGTGTGACTCAACCCCCCCCCCCCCCCCCCCCCCCCCCCCCCCGAAAAATTCTGGATCAGTGCCTGTATACTGAATGTCACGTTGACGACGGGAGATAACTTCACAATGTGAAATTCGTCTACTGTGGCATGCGATGATCTTTGATTCTTTTTGAACTTCAACCTAACCATTTGCAATTCGGTTTATTTTAACGCAATCTATACTAAAACCTGTACTTACCGACTGTCATAGATCCTGTCAACTTCATGAAATATAATTTATATAATCCAATTAAAACACAAAATGATTTTTAACTGATACACCACCAGCATGTGCTATCTCATTCGGCAAACCTTTGCTGATTCCGTCGCCTTCATATTAGATGAAGTGCGAATCGGCCGAGGTGTGCCGAGTGGAGATATCTAAAAATATGATAATGGGTGACGCAAACCCAATGTGATGTAGAATTTTTTAAAAAGGACTTCACACGTAAACATGTCGAGTACAAAAACAAATTTTAAACTATCATTGATACTAAACGATGGTTTAATATAACTTTACCATCTAGGCCTTGAAAAAAAGTGTGTGTGGTGGTGGGGAGGGGGGGGGGTGGTCATTGACAAACTGATTGGGTTGTATTTTCAATGGTTTTTTTTTTGCCTGACCAAATACTAAAAAAACAGTTTGAACATTTTGATAAGTTTATCAAAAATGCTTTGTACTAA